TTGGTGATCAAGGCGACAATTCTCTCCGGCATCACTCGGGATATAGGAATTAAACAGCTGCTGGGTGTCGCATCCACCCCTGGACTGGTAAGTTGAGCTATGTTGGGAAATGGGCTCACAGAGGGAAACCTCAAGCAAGACAAAGTTCTTCTTGCATCAAGAAGAGTGTGGCTAGCAGGAGGAGGGAGGTTCTCCTTCCCCTCTACACTGCCCTGGTGAGGCCTCATCTGGAGTACTGTGTCCAGTTCTGGGCTCCCCAGTTCAAGAAAGATGAAGAGCTACTTGAGAGAGTCCAGCGCAGGGCTACAAGGATGGTGAGGGGACTGGAGCATCTCCCCTACGAGGAGAGGTTGAGGGAACTGGGCTTGTTCAGCCTGAAGAAGAGAAGGCTGCGAGGGGACCTTATAAATGCCTACAAATATCTGCAGGGTGGGTGTCAGGAGGATGGGGCCAAGCTCTTTTCAGTGGTGCCCAGTGACAGGACAAGGGGCAATGGGCACAAACTGAGGCACAGGAAGTTCCGTCTGAACATGAGGAAGAACTTCTTCCCTCTGAGGGTGACGGAGCACTGGAACAGGCTGCCCAGGGAGGTTGTGGAGTCTCCTTCTCTGGAGATATTCAAGACCCGCCTGGACGGGGTCCTGTGCGGCCTGCTGTGGGTGACCCTGCTTGGGCAGGGGGTTGGGCTGGGTGACCCACAGAGGGCCCTGCCAACCCCTACTATTCTGTGATTCTGTGATTCTGTGAGATTGCAAAAATACGAGTGTATTAATAAAAAAAAAAACCAAACCGCAGTGAAACCCTCTGCAAAGCTCCCTGGGCTGCTCTGGTGCGGGCTCAGCAACACCTTGCTGATGGCCAAGCTTCCCCCGGCAGCCGCGAGCCAAACGCAGAGGAGGGAGCATAGAGCAGGGACCCGTTTTCTCTCGGAATGAACCCGAATCCCGCAGGTACCCCCGGGGCGGCTGTAGCCTCTGCATCTACCAAGCGAGAGGAATCATCGCAAAAGCAAAATGCGAAGAGAAAAAAGTCTGTTTTTCGAAAGAGCGATGTGTCTGCAGCGCCGCTCGGCGAAGGAAACGCTGCCTTTATTAGTAGAGCTTTTTATTAATGAGGATATTTTGGAAGCCGGAGGCTGGCTGCATTTATGAATGCCCGAGCAGGGAAAGGTGGGTGAGCGCTGGTGTGCGACTGCCGGGCTCTGTCTCCCTCTTCTGACTGTTTCCAGGCTCTATTTGATAACCAAATCCCCAGCACAGGCTTGGAAAAAATGGTTTTTTTGCCACAAATCACATTGAAAATGGAGCTGTGGACCACAAGAGCTGAGCAGTGGGATTATTGAATTTTTTTTAAAACAGTATGGCCAAAATTGGGTTGTTTGGGTTTTTTGACAAGTGGAGAAGGTAAAACCTGCAGCCCAGGGAAATGGGGTGAGCACGATCATTTCAGGGAGAACAGGGTGGCTGCCTTTACCCAGGCAGCTCGCAGGCTCCGGGGATTTTGCTTTCCCTCCTTCTTCCCCCGCTCTGCAGGAGCTGTTTAGTAAAACCTGAAGAAATACAGGCTTGTAAATTCATCCTGCTCTTTGTATTTCCATGTATTTGCAGAAAGAACGTTCATTTATTTTTCTCTTTATTACAGGACAAGTCTTTACACCGTGAGACCAACAGCTTTGTACCATTTTCCCGGCTGGGCAGAGCCCGCTGAGGCCGGACCCCAGCACGGGCGGCACTGAGCTGGTCGGACGCCAGCAGGGTTCCACGCCTGGATTAATGCCGGGTTTTTGGCAGGCAGTGAGCGATGGGAGATGGGGAGAAGTGGATTCACGCGTCAGCTTGGGCACCCGGCTGCCCTGTTCCTATGGACAGTTGGTCTGTAAACGCCTGGAAAACGGGAAAAGTAGATTTAAGCAGGAGCGTGAAATCCTAAGTGCGCTTCGCAAAAGCTTTTCTCCCCGCTTGCAGACATGCCTCGTAACTAAAGAAAGGGGATGCCAATAATATTCCCTAGTTCACCCTAAATTTTGCATCTTGAAATCACTGCTGCCTTGCTCCAGCCCTGACCCTGCTACACACGGAAGAGAAAACGCAGTAAAACAGGAGCGGGGATGAAGCATCAGACAGGTTTTGCTTTGCTTCTGCCGAGACTGCGGGTCGTGCCGTCGAATAATCTCCCCCGAGGTGAGAGAAAAGCCCCGATATCGGATGACCTCAACGCGCAAAGTCTGATCTCCCAGGCCTCATTTTTCTCTGCTTAACGATGAGGCCGGTTGTGACGAAGTGCCGGGCGCCGCTTTGATGCGGATTTATTGATACCCCCGTTAAAAGGCGAAGCGGGGGCGAGCAAGCCGGGCGGTAAATAGCAGCCGACAGCTCGGGAAGCGAAGCGGGCGCACTCGTGTGACGGAGAGCTGGCTTTTCGTGAAATCGAGTTTACGCGTGTTCAACACCTTAAAAGCAAAATGTGGAAACTGCAAAATAATTTGATGTGCAGTCATCATCCTCACCCCACCCCCAAACTCTGTTTGATGGCCCAGGGGCTGATCCTGTCGTCCCTGGGGGTTTTAGGAGCTTTCTCACTCGTGGTGATGCTTCTCTGCACCTCCCCGAGGAATTTCTTTCCATTCCTTAAGGTCAGATGTAAGTGATATTGCACAGAGCAAAAAAATAAAAGGAATTGCTCTCCCAAATCCCTAGCGATCCAGGCAAAAAACCCTACCAACAGCTTCAGAAGACGCAGATCCTGCAAGTTGGGGGTGGGCAGCTCGACTTTTCCTACGTCCCCGTGGCCCGATACCTAGAGACCATCGATGCGCAAGACCAGACCTCTGCTGGCTTCAATGTCCCAGCCTCTCTGGAGGTCTAATTGCATCCCATGATGCCTTTCTGCTCCCAAAGTCAATCAGCGTCGCCCAAAATACATTTTAACCTGGGAGCTACAGAGCCGTCGGCAGTAGGCGTCGATACGATGGTTGCAAGAGCGGCTTTATCTCAAGGCAATCTGGGCTCCCGCACCCACCAGCACCCGTGACTTTACTCTGCGGCCTCGACCTCCGATTTCTGAGCGTTTTAGGGGAGCTCAAGGTGAGTTTTTTAATGGTAAAACTTGGTTTTGTTGAACTGGGAGCTGGTGGGGGTGGTGGGGTTTCATTGGCAAGGATAACAGCGCTCTCCCTTTTGTCCCCTTTTTTCTAGCGCGCTTACACCCGTGTTTTCAAGCAGTTCTAGTCTGTGTCGTGCTTGTATGCGAGGATTGGGTTGGGGGAGCTGTATATGTAAAATTGGCAGAAAAAATCTCAGAGATTAGAGAAATTAGAGAAAAAACTCTCATAAATCAGCCATAATTAATCAAGACCTCTCCTTTATCAATAGATCTAACAAAGCGTGGGTTTATCAGAAGATGGGTTATTTTTGCTGCCCAACAGAGCTGTGGTAAAGCTCTTGCCAGCCAAGCTAGATTGGAAAAATAGTTATATTTCTTCCCAGTATAGACCCAGCTGAAGGGCTGTGTATCCCCATCCATCAGCTGGGGACCCTGACCTAGTGCTGAAGCTCGTGGGGAAATCTCTTGGGGGGTTTCTTCCCTTCATCTGTTAGAAGGTACCGGCTCATTTTTAGAGCAAAAATACTTATGCCTGCAGCTGGGTGGGTATTTTGCTGCTGCTTCTGCCAGCACCAACTTCCTAAAATCCTCAGAATTAGCCCCATAATGTTATTCCCAGGAAGCAAAGGCTGGGGACCGATATTCTCCCTTAATACATGGAGCTCTGGGCGCAGTTGTCCATCCGGAGGTGCTTGCCCCTAAAATAAATTGGTTCCCGCATCTGTGCAAAAAGTGTTAGATTAACATGGTCCAAAAAAATCTCAAATCTGTTAAATCAAGAGATGTTTTCAAATAGCAACTGGGTTTAGGCTGGAGCCCGTTATCGGTCTTTGCCTTGGGGCAAAATGGGTCAGTAATTCGGCAAGCCAAGCAGAGCCGCCCTGGCCAGTGCTGGACCCTGCCAGCTCTTTAGGTGTACACCCCATTCACTTTATATTTTTAATCTATTTGGCTTGAATTGAGATTTTCCTTCCCTGAAATAGAGGGATAATGCTATGGTTTTGCCATGGATGGGAGCAGCCGGAACGGGGCATGCGGAGAGGCTGGCGCTCTGACCGCTCTCAAAGTGACTTTGGGAGGCATCGACCGGGCTGCCATGAGTAGTAACCGTTCTCCCATCCAAGTCAAGTGTGAAAGGCAATCACTGGAGGTCAGATAATTAGGAGATTAATTAGCATCCATGGCAAAATCCAAAGAAACTCATATGGGGAATAAAACGGCAGGTTTGAAGGAATATCATCTGGAAGCAGCAGCATACGTATGGCTTAAAGTCTGCGCTTAGGAGATGGGGAAAAACAAACTCCGCTTCTGCAAAATCCCTTTTATCTGTGCAGGTCCCCCCCAAAAATTAAATGGGTGCTTCTTGCCAGCAAGCAACCCCTGTTAACTGAACTTGTGTCTGTAGTCGTACCGGCAAATCTCTGTAATAATCTCTCACGTTTCACTGACGCCTTCCTTTGAGCAGCAGCAATAAAAGACCAGAGACGTAACCCTGGTGAAATTTATCCGGATTTTCTTAAATATGGGCAGAGCGGAGGTGGAGCGCGGGCAGGGCTGGCGCAGAGCGATGCGGGGCTGAGAGCTCGCCGAGGTGAGCGAGAGGCGGGTGCTTTGCAGGAGGTGCTGGAGGGTCCCCGGAGCATCCGCAGGGAAGATCCCGGCTCCCTGCTGCCTCCTCGCCCCGGCCGGGAAGGACCTTGGGGTTTCACTGGGGCCACGCGTGGAGGATTCCCGTAGTGGGGAGCACCCGACGGGTGTGCGAAGAGGTGTGTTCCCCTGCCCAGCACCCTTTAAAATCTCTCTCCTTCTTCCTCTCCGCGGCTCAGCTCTCTCCGAGCGGCAGGACCATGCTGGAAGATGAGGATGGGATGAGCGAGAGGGGGCTCAGCGGCTCCAGGAGGAGATACGACGATGAGGAAGGTGAGCGAAACCCCAGGGATGCCCCGAATGGCAGCGGGGTCTTCCGTGCTGGCTGGTGCATCGGATCTCCCAATGCTCGGCTCGGCGCATCCCGTGCACGACGTGGGAAAAGCTCTTGTGGGTGTTTTAAACCTGGTGGGAAGAAGGCAAATATCCCCCTGTTTTATTGCAAGTGAGAAACACACAGATTTTCTCTCTAAAGCTTTTTTTTTTCCCCCCTCCCCTCTAGATTACCACTCCATCTACATCGGGGTGCCGGTGCCTCGGGGCTACCGGAGGAAGCGGCGTCGGCGAAGATCAACCTCGAGCCGGGACAGGACGAGCGAGAGCGAGCGGCACTACGAGCGCCAGGATCGCTCCGACACTGACGACGGCGGCCACGGCTGCTACGAGAGCGGCAACGACAACGCCAGCAGGAGCAGTGAGTCGCCCGCGGGCTTCCCGAGAAGGCCCGGAGGGGTTTCGTGGCATCATTTAATCCAGGATTGAATCGCCCCGTGCACCCAGCCGCGTTGCTCGGTCCGGAGTTCGCGTTTCGCACTGCTTTTCCCAACGCTTCTCGGGTTTGTTTTGCCCCGTGGATGTCTCTGAGAGCTGGGCACGGGGTGTGAAATGGGATTTGAGGCTGCTTAGGTGATGGTTGGGCTAAAAAGAGGTTGTCCTAGCGCTTGGGATGCTGCTAACGAAGAAATGCGGGAACAGTGGGGTCCTGGGGATGCAGACGTGCTCCGGGCATCACACCTTGTTCCCGACAGGCTTTTGCCCGGGGCTTTGCCCGGTCTCGTTAAATCTCCTTAGCGAAGATTAACATTTTACAGCAAAGTAGCTGTCGATCTCTTGGGTTGGGTTTTTTTTTCCCAACCCCCTCTACAGAAATTTGCATTTGGGTTTTTGTCGAGCAGACGGCGTCACGGCTCAGCAGAGCGGCCAGGGGCTCGGCTGAGCTTTTCCCTCCGGAGGGAAAGGGTTTCCAGGGTTTATCTTTGTGGCGGGGTTCTCC